TTCTTTATGAAAGGATTTTACCTTACCTAAGTTTATATGATGAAAACAAGTTGAGTCTGCATTTCCCTTTAAATATATGCACTTTAAAATGATACAAAGAATTCACATAAAAATTTTCCCTATAGTGTATATTCTGAAAAAAAAATCATGTATGTAATAGTATTTGCAAATCAGATAAAAAGTTCAAGACTGTATATTTCCTAAGAAATTAAATCAAGTGTGTAATATTCATTATGAACTTTTGCTCTAGTCACAGCATGGAAAAAATGTACATCTCTGTTAGTATGAAGAGATATCATTAGAGAAGTTCACATCTTACACATATAACAAAAAAGCTGATTAAGAATTTTATGTTCTAAAGGAATTATTCAAAATTTAGTAGTCCAGAAATTGTTAAAAAGAAACTGATTGGTGATGACCTGCTCTTTTGTAGAAGAGAAGGCATCTTTGCTTGCTCATAAAATGGAATTGTATAAATTATGCTTAAATTCATTAGAATTTCTTGGTATTAAAAAAAGAGACAGATTTATCAATTTAAGTTGATTGAAATTTCAAGAGCATATTTCTTTGATTATTTGAAATCATAAAAACATCTTTAAGCAGATGAAAATCCACAATGGAAATAAAATTAAGATTTTTTTACAATAATGACTGTTTCTATAGTTCTGGAATGCCCAGAAAGCACTAAATGGAAAAAGAAACAAGTAATGTGAAATTCTAAAAATCTGCCCTGTGATGGATCTCTATGACCAAGTTACCGAAGTAATTATCATTGTGAATCTGTTGAGACAGAGGACTCCTCTCACCCATCCACTTTTTTATAGGTTATATTTCAACTTCAACGTACATTTTGACAAAAGTTTTAGCCTAATTTTTAAAACAATTTTAATAAAAGCTTTTATGCTGTAATAATAGATTTAAAGGGCTCTTTAACCTTTAAATGTTTTTAGTGAATGAATTGTACTTTCTTTCTCAAACAAGCCTCAAATACATCTTTTCTGAACGATGTGTCTTATTTATCCTTCAGGAAAGAAAAGAAAAAGCTTAGTCCTGAGCGTCCTGTATATTAAAATTAGCAGGCTGATTTCACTTTTGGTCCCATAGAGTTTCTGCTGTCCTCTGTCAGCTGTGAAGGTCATCCATCATAGGAACTCTATCTGCCATGAATACCCTTTGTAACTGCAATGATTGAGTGAACTCTTTCCATCTTCAATAACCAGCACAGTGTCAACATCTGCTTCCAATAAAGTTGTTGGATTTTTTTTCTCAAGTAGAGTAAATCTGCTGACTGAGATGGTAAAGAGTGAGCTTTTTCCCTCCCTTTTATGCAGAAGATTTTTTCCACCGTATTTTGCAAATTTTTTCCAAGGGAGGTTAAAAAAAAAATAGATAAGTTCAAAAGAAACATTCTTATTCCAAGTGCCAAGGAAGGAACCTCAAAATGTAACTGAAAAATAGAAACTTTGGTGATCCAATGAGCTGCCTCTTACTTTGAAGGCAGCAATACATAGGGTGGTGGATGAGTAAATTTTTTTAACGTGTAACAAAACTCTGAGTTGAGCTACATACCACCAATAGATTAATTTATTTTCCTTCAGAAATGGCACACTAAAAAGTCAGTGTTAATTAAGAAATTTACATTCTATCTCCCGTACCTAGGAGGAGAAAAAGATTCTCTTTGCAATAATCTTATAAAAAGGCAGTCATCTACTTGGTTGCTGCAGAAACAAGCATATGAAATGAAGAGAAGGGACATTTAGCTCAATTTAATGACCTGCTCAGACAACTCCCAGACATATGTGGTAAATGTCATTTACCATCACACATCTAATATGAGCCAGTCAAATGACCTACTATATGTGATTTCCAGCTTCTACAGCCTGCCTGTTTGGTAGCATGATCCCATTTTATTTATGAGATAAATAAATGAAGCGCAAAATCACATATTAAATTGTGGCTAAGCCAAAATTCACAGACTTACCAGATTACAAGCTCTTTTCCCATTAATTCATTCTGCTTCCCTATTCATTTCCCAGTCAAAACTCTAGCATATGGACTTTCTTTTTCCAACACTTAATGACACCACTCCCACTATTTAACAAAGGTACACACAGCAAGGAGTAGAATATGATTTCATAAAATAACAGTTTCTCATTGCCACTTTAAATTACAAATACAACATGAAGTCAGACAGTAAACACGAACACTAGATGCTTTCACATATTTTGTAAGCCTAGAATAGAAATGGTCAAATCTATTTGCATAACAAATGACAAACTCCTTAAGGGACACATTTATGTTAATGCCCAGATTTTTTAAAATGTTATTAATTCCTCAATTATTTACAATTCACTAATTCTCATTTTGCAAATTTTAGAGCAACCTTGGCCATGTTTGCTTAGCAAACTCTTAACAAGAAAAAGAAAAGACAAAAAATGAGAGGGAAAAATTAAGAAAGGATAGCTAACCTTCTTAAGAAGGTATGTTCATTTTTAAAAAGTTTAGAGGCTCTTTTCAAATTAGCAATGAAAGATCAAATATCTGGTTAGTATTCTAACTTGCCAAAATTATACTGCTCCTTCATTCCTGATGGCGTAGTAGTGGAAACAAAGTCAATTTCAAGTAAATGAGATTTCCTAGTGTTTAGTTCACAGATTTTTAGATAGCTTGAATGAAATTTAATTTGCAAAACAGTCAAAAGTGGAGTGGTTCTAAATGAAGTCAGGGAGACAGATGATAGCCTTCAATAAAGAAGTTTGGATGCTATAGGTCCAACAGCATCCTTCTGATGTGAGAAAACAGAGAGTGATAACATTTTAAATGTAAAATTAATTCAGATTAGTACAACTGTTCCTTTTTTTAATGACTTTTGGTGGTAATGGTAACAGAAACACTGGACAATTACACTAACACTACTCTCACTCTACTTATATTTTGATCCACTCCTTTGGTGGTGGTGTGCCAACAATACCTGTGTCTGTCCTCAAAGGGAGAGCTCATTTACAGATATTTCCTGTATACAACAAAATGCAGTCTTCACTTTTCTCAGGCCCCCAAAGCCAAGAAATATTTTGTCCATCCTTAATAGGAGGGACAAAGAGCAAAGTCTAAATTCAGGGTGAAGCCACCTAATTGTCTGCCTTTTCTCTTTTATTTAGTTTAGTAGTGAATAAGAATAGAAGCAAAGAATTAATACCTTCCTTCTCTTTTTAATTGGGAAAAACCCAATTGAGTGATTTGAAGTAGGACACTGTTCTGAGAGAAATTGCAAATGAAGTTGAAAGGTTGCAAGGGACGAGAAGGCAACTAATCTTCAGTGAGTATCCCATGGGAACTATGAATACTTGTTTTTGAAAATTCAAGAGGAATCAAGACAAAATTAATTTTATAGATTCATCAAGTTCTGTGCTCCAAATATTTGGGCAAATTATAAACTAAACAATTATATCAAATGAAAGTGTAGATCAAAAGGTGCATAATTTAAACAGTTTACTCCCTAGAAATTTGAATTCATATCATTACTGAGTGGAGGTTACATTAAGTTTGTGTTAAAGAAAATCTAGTTAAAATTAAGCAAAGTACGGAGTGATGAGAATATGAGAGCATATAGACTCATAACAACTTGAAGGATGCAACAGGAAAGAAAACAAATGCAGAAAATATAGCTATGGAAAATACTTGAAAATTGTCTGTGAGACGTCTGTCTAAGCTTGTTATCTTTTGTTCATGTATAAAATATTCATACATATAATGTGAATAATTACAGATGGAAAGTGGCATTTCACTGAGCATTCTATTTCATGTGGATGGAGAGAGATGGGAGACGTTTAAGAAACTCTCTTTACCAAATAAAAGCATCTATATTCCACTAACTTTTTATATGGCCCATCTCTGGAAGAAGTTGAAAGAAGGAATGGACTTTGTCTTTCAAGTCATTAAATTGACAATAACTACTACCTTCATAATTCTAATCTTCTCCTATTATGTGTTAATGATACTTCTAACTTAATTTTATTTAGATCCTGAGGGCCACATCAAGTTGAATTAGTTCAATTATTAGCCAATTTTAGTAATTTTGTATAAATTTATATCAAAATATAAATTTTATTTTGCCCTACATTTTTAAGAGAATTAAGTCAAGTAAAACTACATTTAAACCAAAGTAAGTCTTGCAAAATGCTATGCTTAAAATATTACATACAGAATATTTTATTTTTCAGTTTAAAATGATGAGTGAGTGACATTATCAGAAACTGCCAGGACTTCATGTTTAATACCTTTCCAGATATTATTCCTTCAGACTCTCTCTAGGAAAAAAATTCACTTAACATGATTTTGAAATTGCCATGAATGAATAATTAGAACCGAGAAAAACAAATCACTGGCACTCGCAGGTAGCATGCTTAAATGCATTTTTTCCAGTGCAGTAGTTATATATAAACTTTGGTTCTATTCATCAAGTTGGATGAACTAGAAAGAATTATTATCCTCTAGGCAAACTTTCCATCTGACTGAAAGTTTAGGCAAACTTTCTTCTTAGTTAACTTCCAAGTACTCTTTGGAGAAAACAAAGTAATGAAGTATCTTTTCTTTAGAGTGGCCCTTAAAAACAAAGTCTCTTTCCAAGAAACAAAGTCTCTTTCCAAGCTATACATTTAACTCAAAACTGAGTGAGCTTGCATGGAATTAAATCTTCACTGAGATTTATTGTAAAAACAACACTGCATTGGCTTGTCTATGGTATAGCTACTTTTGTAGAGAGGAGAAAATATCAAACACTTGAGGTAACCTAGAAAGCACAGACATGAGCATATCACAGACATTTAAAGATTAGCATTTAAATGTTTTTGCCAGTGCTTCTCTGAGAGCAAGTTCTTTAAACAGAACTCAACAATTTTTACAATACTAAAAAAAAAAAAAAAAAAAAAAAATACATCTCTCAAAAATAGCCCCTCAATGCTAAACCAAACTTTCTGTATTTCTACAAAAATAGATGCACATAGAGCTACAAAATTATATTCCTGAAAGAACAAGCATTTTTGTATGTGGTTCATCTTTTCCTGACAAGGTGGCTAGTTTGCAAAGAAAAAATAAAATAAAAATGAAATAAAACTAACCCCAGTACTGGTAAAAGCAAGAAAAGTAAAAAAAAAGAAAGAGTTGCACAGTTGACAAAGGCTCAGATATGGGAAACAAAACAGCAAAAATGCTTTTCTTCAATGACTCGGACCCACTCTGCTTTCTCCAGAAAAGGTTCAAAACCAAAGTCAACTGCCTGACACTTTTCTTCCATGTTCCTCATCTCCCATTGCAGAATGGAAAATCCCAACAGCATCTTTTCCCAGTGGGCCTTGGATTCAGGATGCAACCTGACTTGGTAACAATGTGTGTTTCAGTACCATGGTGACTCCTTGCTCTTGTCTTGATGCTGTAGGCCTAGAAAAGGTGAAAATGGAAAAATTGATGATCATGAATACATTCAGCACTCACTAATATGCACACCCTGTAATGCACTGGGTACAGAAACTGAAATCCAGGGAAGTGTGGGAAATGACTTAAGGGGAACCTGCACTCTAAAAAAATTCTGCATGTGATTTTCAAAATGACAACCAACAGTATATTAAAATAATTCTATACACCAACAGTGCTTTGTGAACAGTAACAATTGTTTGCTATGGCTTTTATTTTCATAGAATGTAAGAGAATAAGCACAATAAAAACAATGAAAAATTTTATTTGTAACTTCTGAAGAGTTCATATTCGAAGAGAAAGGACATCACTTCAATTAATACTTTCAGCAACCATCAAAATGATAATTTCAGACTAAAATGATGAGTAAGTCCTATTGTTTGAAATGTGTTCCTAATTTCTCATAAGAGCAATTAGTATAACATCTTCAGCTTATACCCACTTCAAATCATTTTCATTTTGCTCTACTATTTTTTCTTTCCATATTCATTAGTATATTCACAAATATAAGTGTGTACATTCAAGGCATATACCAAGATGCTTTCATGAGTGTATGTATGTAACGAAATAATTACCACAATCAAATTAGTTGTCACACACATCAGTTCTTTCAATTTCCTTTATTTTTCTACCTGAGACATATTTGGAAGAGTGAAGACCCTCAATCATTTAGCACCAAATACCAAAACAAGTAGGGAGAAACAAGACATGATTGCTGCTGTATGGGTGTCAGGATTTCATGAACTTTTGTTTAAAATTGTTATAAGTCTGGGCTGTTATCAGAAATTGAATAACCTAGTATGTTTTTAAATTGTTTATGGTTACTAAGACAATTTCTTGTCTCATAACTTGTCAGAATTTTATCAAGTAAGGGGTGTCTTTATACAAACACACAAAATTAGTTATTGAATACAGATATTAAGGCAAAATACAAAGCAAACAACATAAAGAATGAGAGCATAAATAAGAGTACAAGAAGCACCTCACAGAATTGTAAGTCACTCTTACTACGTAGAATTGGTGTACTGGGGAAAAGGTGACATTTCCTGAATGTCAAAAGAATGATCCCACTATTATTTTTCTCTTCAAGTGTACTGGCATCATGTTTAGGTGCAGCATCAATAGTTTGCTTTCCAATTTCAAAAGAAAAGGAGGAGGAAGATAAAAAAGGAGGAGGAGAAAGAAGAAATAAAAGGATGAGAGTTGTATCAAGTCACTCTAAGTTTACTTTACTCATTTTCAAATGATTTTGTGGTTAGAATAATTTGCAACCTGACGTAGTCTCTGCTGAGTGACTCTTATAATCTAAACCACCTTTACTGACAATCTGCTGATCACATAAATATTTTTTTCATTATTAAAACATCTCATCTTCTGCATGACTCAGTATTTCCACACTTGAAGAGGGCATCAATCTACAGAATGTCAGCACTGCAAGTCATGAATATTGTTGTAATCATCAAGTGGGTTGAGTGTTTTTCTTCTTAAATAAAGACAATTCCTAGGTATTCTTTCTTATTTTTTTTGTAAACATATATACTTCTTCAAAATCATGTTAGTCTTTTGCCATAGATGAGTACTGCATTATTTAAGATAGCTCCTGAGAGGGAGAGGGGCAGGCGACAGTGGGGAGAAATGGCCCAAACAATGTATGAACATATGAATAAATGAATTAAAAAAAAAAAACAAGCTGAAGCAAAAGAGCTTGAAGCATGGCTCAAGTAACAGAATGCCATTACCCAATGCCACCAATGAGCAAACAAATAAATAAATAAATGAATAAATTAAAAAAAAAGTTAGCTCTGAATTTCCAGCCAGAACAGAAGTTATTCACTCATTATAAATTCATCTCTTTAATCTTTGTTCCATGTCTTCATATCACTCCAATGCAAACTTTAAAGAATCAGTTCATCTATGGCCTGAAAGGTATTAAAAATCTAACTGAACCTTATGATTTAGCTGCTTCTTAGAAGTAGGAAAAAAGTTAAATATTTGTTTTTATTACCAGAAAATTTTAAAAAACCTTAATATAAATCACAAAAGAAAAACAGAGGTACGTGATTTTTCTACTTTAGATGATTAGTATGGGCAGATTATGGTATTTAAGACTCAACCATTTAGTTTCCCCAGAGAGAATGGAGGCAAATTGTTAAACCCTGAGCCTGATGTAGTCTACATATATATGGGATTTCCCAAAATTTTACTGCCAAAACAGAATTCACTCTACTATCAGTTTTCCTCGTACTTAGATTTCTTCACTTCCTTACTTCAATTCAAACCACAGAATGGGAGAAAATATTTGCTCGCTATACATCAGACAAAGGACTAAACAACCAGAATATACAGGGACCTCAAAAAACTAATCTCCCCCAAAATCAATGAACCAATAAAGAAGTGGGCAACTGACCTAAACTGAACTTTTTCAAAGGAAGAAATCCAAATGACCAAAAAACACATGAAAAAATTCTCACCATCCCTGGCCATAAAGAAAATATAAATCAAAACCACACTAAGATTCCACCTCACTCCTGTTAGAATAACTACCATCAAAAACACCACCAACAACAAATGTTGGCGAAGATGCCGGGGGAAAAAGGAATGCTCATACACTGCTGGTGGGAATGTAAGCTAGTACAACCACTTTGGAAAACAATATGGAGGCTTCTTGAAAAACTAAACATAGATCTGCCATATGAACCAGGACCTATGATCCACTCTTAGGGATATACCCAAAGGAATGCAATTCAGGTTACTCCAGAAGCACTTGCATACCCATGTTTATGGCAGCACTATTCATGATAGCCAAGTTATGGAAACAGACAAGATGTCCCACAACCTGAATGGATTAACAAAATGTAATATTTATATACAATGGAATTTTATTCAGCCACAAAAAAGGATGAAATTTTGTAAATGGATGGAACTGGAGAACATCATCTTAAGCAAAGTTAGCCAGGCTCAGCAGGCCAAAAATCTCATGTTCTCCTACATATGCAGATAATAGACCTAAAACAAATGCAGTAATATTATTGGACATGGGTCACACACTAAGAGGAGAATGTATACAGGAGGAATAGGGAAAGAGAAGGAAACCTAAAACTTGAAAGTGTTTGATGTGCCCACTGTAAAGGAGCAAATAAAGTAACCTTAAAATGACAGAGGTCACTATGGGAACATGACCAGGAAGTAGTAAACAAAACAAAAAAAACCTATATGAAATTAGTTCATAATACATCTTGAGACTTTTCCCTTTTGGCTGTCTAAAATCAACCATCTTTATTAGTAATTAAATTTTAGTTTTGTTGCTTAGTGTGTGAGATTTTTAATAGAAAGGAAAATAAACACCATAAAAATGTTAGCTAATACTTTCTTAGGGCTCAAATATGCCAGGCACTGTGCTAAACACTCAATATGAAATATCTTATTTAATTTTCTCAACCATATTATCTATTTTACAAATGAGAACACTGAAACTAAGAGAAGTTATACAACTATTAAGTGGTAGTAAAGAAGTAAGCTGATGAATCATAGTCTTAACATAGTATAAATGCTCATATTGCATGGGCTATGTTGATTATAGGTTGTGATACTGGCCACAATTCCAACTACCCAAGTGAAAATCCTCTCACAAAATCAGTTCACAAAAAAAAAAAAAAGAATTGATTTTTATATTCTTTCTGCAATATTTAAAAACATGCTCATTTAACAGAACAGGTATCAAAATTAGCAAAGTAACTCTCAGTGATTTTTTTTAAACAACTGCACTAGTCTGATATTTTTTTCCTAAGATACAATAAATAATTACAAACAATTCGTTATCTTTCAGATGAAGACCACTTCAATGGTGGGAATATGTCTTATCAACTGATAGGGTTTTCTATGAATATTTTTAATGGAACCACCCCACTCCCCACCAGACTTCCTCAAGGTGAACTTTTAAAACATTGTGTGGTCATTTGACTCATGAGGATTTTTTTCAGACATGAACCAGGGAACAAAGATATCAAAGTATGGGTTTCAGAGTTTGACTCTGAGATGTAGTTAGGAGGAAACACATTGAGAGAGAAAAAAGCTCAATAACATATTTCCCCCACTTCAATTCCAATACCAGTACCAACTGATCACCAACAGAAAAGAAAAAAAAATCCAGATCTGGAAAATAAAATTTGAGAGAATTAGGGGCAAGAGAGGGAATCACAGTATGTTTTCATTTCAAACCCTGAAAAATCTGACAGTCTTAGTCTGTTCAGGTTGCTAAAACAAAATGCCATAATCTGGGAAACTTGTAAACCACACATATTTATATACCATAATTCTGGAGACTTGGAAATCTGAGATCTAGGTGCTGGCAGATTCAGATTCTGTTGAGTCTCATTTCACATTCAAAGAGGATGGCTTCCATGTACCCTTATGAGGCAGAAGGGGAAGTGTCAGGTCTCTTTAGACAATGCCAATCTCATTCCTCAGGTCTCTGCCCCCATGATCTAATCATCTCCCAAAGTCCCCACCTGACATCACTGCCTCAGGGTTAATATGTCAACATGTGAATTTTTGAGGGATGCAAACATCCAAATCAAAGTACTGACTGTATGTAACAAGACATCAGTGCAATAATTTTCCCTATAATGAGGGAAACATTCTAGCTTTGATTTTAAGAGGTAACAGCTTCAGAAGATTCACTTCTTGCAAAAGGCTGTGAGAATAAGGACATAGAATAGCAATACAACTTGTGTAATTATAAAAAGCCTGAAGACTTTACCTTCTCTAGCTTTCCTCACCTCTTAGGTGCTTTGTGAAAAGATACTAAACTTCCTACTGGGCCTCTCAAGACAGGAACAGAAGTTGGCTCAAAGAGAATTCTGATGAACCTGCTAGTACTTCCCAAATCTATGATGTAGGCACCCTGGATCACTTTGGGTGAGCATCTTAGAGGAACAACAAACACAAGGAAGATAAATTCACTGCCA